AAAGCACATTAAAAAATGCAAGTAGAAAAATAGGGCCCACTTTTGGTGGGAAGGTAACAGCGTTCCGTGCGCCTTTGGCATTTAGTCATGCCGGCCACATAACCACCGAGACACCTTCGGACAGCGCTGGCTCTTTGGCTTTGAAATAGAGATGAGCACCTCCCCCTAGAGTCAGGAATGACTAGGACATATGTGTGAAGGGAACCTTTATCTTTAAGGTGGGAAAAGAATGGGGATGCATATGTGCCATAGCTATTTGGATTTTTTTCAAGACAAGAATCCCATCCATGTTAATGGTAGAATTTAGAATGGCCTTACCCAACAAATGTTGGCCACAAGCATCACACTACAAACCCCATACTTCTCAGCCTCACTGAGTGTTGAAGTCAAGGGCATGTGGGGAAAAAAGATCAGGCAGGAACAGCTGCCATTTATTGAAAAAAAGCAATTACTGACAAATTTTGGAACACCCGTCACTGTCACTAACACACACAGCCTTCTCTTTCTAGGGTCAGGTTCCTGGCAATGAATTCAACAGGCGTCATCATAAAGGAATCAAAATGGTCTGATCCCATCAGATTGATTCAAGGTAACTAAAAATGGGTACCACTAACATCACCTGTCACATGTCCCCCCTGTTCAAATCCCATTCATTTTGGTCAGGCAGTCACACATGGAGCCTACCTCTGCAATATTTCATATACACTAACCTGAAAATAAGCATTAACTTCAGCTGGGTTTCTTTCTGAAAAGGAGCGAAACCGTTGTCTATGGAGTCTGCCTTTCTCCCCTGGGAGGGTTAGTTTTAGTATTGTGATTTTTGCCACTCTTAGTTGTTTTCAACCCCCTGGTTTATAATGGTTGCGGTGTCCCGGGTTTATGTGATCCCGTTTTACAACCTTCTAACAAATAAAATCGATGGGAAAGCGAGATTCACGTAACAACCATGTTACTAACTTAACGTGCAGTGATTCACTTAACAACTGTGGCAAGGAAGGTCATAAAATGAGGCAAAACTCACTTAATAACTGTCTTGCTTAGCGAATGAAATTTTAGACTCCATTGTGGTCATAAGTCAAGGACTACTGGTACAAATCCAGGAAGACTAGTAGTATATCAATCTAACCTGTTGGAGGAGGTGTTTTGGTGCTCTCAGGTTCACTTCCCTACATATCTCGATTTCAAAGAAATATTTCAGGCATTACAAGAACTATTCTAGTCCTGGAGGAACGGAAATTCTTTTAAGGTGGCACCTTGAAAAGATTACATGATAAAAATATAAATTTGTTTTTCACCAGGGAGAAATCCTGACAGAATTGTTGTCAAGCCCAGACGGCGGAGAACTGAGACAAACGTCATTATCTCCATCCTCTCCATCCTCTCTGCCATTCTCCTGGCTGCTCTCATTGCCGCCTTCATCTATAAATAGTATGCTTCATATATCTATGACTATGTGTNGTTCTACCGAATAGGTGCGAACTGGTAGGAACCCACCTCTGGTATAGTTAGATGCAACATAACTTTATACTGCAACATCACTATAGCACCAGGGCTATAACACAGGAATTCTCAAAACTATGGGTTGGGACCTTTGTGGGGATTGGGGGCAACTTTAGGTGATTGCAATTTGAAAAAATAAAAATAAAAAACCTGACCAAGCATGCACAAAGGAGGAAAACTTTCAGAACCTGTTTGATGGTTTGCTTGAACAAGCCAATAATGGACAGCGATTATGCCAGCGATAAACTCTGTAGATTAAAATGTAATTACTAAATTAAACAATATATTTAATTTCTTCCCAACCTTACCCCAGTGAAATCATTAATTTTATTCAAATGGATCATTCCTTTATGTTAGAAGTCATGGTGCTGCAAAATTTGAGAACTTTAATGGAACAATACAGCCTTACATAAATCTGAAGAAGTAACTCTGAATCAAAGAAGACCTCTGATAAGTAAGTAAATGAATTTAAGTATCAATTGTACTCTTAAAATATGCCAGAGTGATTTTTAAAATATATTTATGAGAAGCGTTTTCTCGTGATACATCACGTGATGGCAACGTGATACTGGAAGTTTAAAAAGATTTTAACTTTTTATTTTGTTTATGCAAACATCACATCTTTGCAACACATTACACTTCTTTTACATATCTATTGTGATTCTTTTATCTGTACATATAAGTCTTATATAACTATAACTATATATATGCATTTATATTATTTCATACATCTTTTTTCTTCATTCTATATATAACATTCTATATATTCTATGTGTAACAACCAATTAGTTTATTTAAATATACGAAAAACCTTTTCCCGAGGCTAATCGTAATCACTTGAAATAAAAATAAGATTTTTGGTAAGATATTCATTTTTACAATAGCGATTCTTCCCATTAATAATATTTGTAGTTTCCTCCAATTTTCAAAATCTTTCTCAATTTTCTGAATCATTTTATCATAATTGTCTTCCTTAATTGTTGAGCATTTCCCTGTCAGCCAAATTCCTAAATATTTTACCTTTTCTACTATCTGCATTTCCAGGTTTTCCTCTAATTCTTGCTCTTGTTTTTTGGTGAAATTTTTTGTAATTTCTTTTGCTCTTGTTAATTTTAAGTCCCGCTAGCCTATTGAATTCCTCTATTTTTTGGATTAATCTAATTCCCGATTTTAATGGTTCCTCTTTTTTATTTTTAATCCCTTTATTTCTTGATTGTTTCTAATTTCTATTAATAGAACTTCCAGTGTTAATATAAATAATAAAAGTGATAATGGACATCCTTGCCTCACTCCTTTCCATATTTTAAATTCTTCTGTAGTATCATCATTTATTATTACTTTTGCTGTCTGGGCCAAATATATTGATTCTATCATCTTTATAAAGTTTTCTCCAAATCTCATCATTTTTAACTGTGTGATAATGAACTGCCAATTTAAATTGTCAAAGGCCTTTGGGGTGTCTAAAAAGACCGGTGTATTCCCTGTATTCTCTTCATAGTATTCTAGTGTGTTTATAACTATCTTCATATTATTTTTTAACTGGTGTTTTGGTAAGAAGACGTTTTGACCTGTGTGAATGATTTCATTTAATATTTTTTAAATTCGCTCTGCCATTATTGATGTAAAGATTTTATAGTCTGTGTTTAGTAAAAAAAATTGGTCTGTAATTTTTTATTTGTTGATGGTCCGAATCTTCTTTGGGTATCAACGTTATATATGCTTCCCTCCATGATTATTCATTTTCAAGTTTTCATTTTAGGATGCCACTATACAAAGAGTCTTTTTATCTGGACTCAGGATAAAAATTCCTCCTTCTATCTCCCATGGAGAACTATTTTCAATCATGAGGCACACACTTCCAATAATCCAGATATCTTGTAGATATTTTATTTGTATCTTATCTTGAATTATATGAAAACCAAACCACAGTCTTTAAAAAGTATCTTACAAATGAAAATTTCCTGTGTATAAGTATATATGGTTCAAAACGTAGCAGCATGGACAATATCAGGCATTTCTAGTTATATTCATATGTCCTTGCTCTACATGAGTTGCATTAGCTGCCAATCAGCTTCTGAGTACAGCTCAAGGTGCTGGTTCTTACCTATAAATCTGTTCATGGCATAGGGTCTCTGTAAATGTAGGACTGCTTGTCTATAATAATTTCTGCCTGCCCAATATATTCAAGCTAAGTGGTGCCCTCCAGGTTCCCTCAATTATTTGTTGTCATCTCAGAACCACTGAATATAATCTTTCAGAATTCCTATGGCACATGAGAACTACCAGAGGACTAGAAAAGAGCTGATGTGGTTCCAATGTACAAAAAGGGAAAAAATGGACCCAGGAAACTACAGACCAATCAACCTGACATCAATACCCAAGAAGACCCAGGAAAAGATAATCAAGCAACGCACTTGTGAGCATCTAGAAATTAACAAGATAATGAATGGTTTACCAAAAACAGATCACGGCAGACAAATCTTATTGCCTTCTTCAACAAAGTCACTAAATTAGTGAATAAGGGAAACACCATGGATATAGTTTACTTAGACTTCAGTAAGTCTATTTGACAAAATAAACCACAACCTACTTCTTGATAGACAGTACCATCACCAGATGGATTCACAACTGGCCGATCAATCATACTCAGCAAATTCTCAATGAAACTATATCTACGTGGAGAGAAGCATGCAGTGGAGTTACCTCAAGGATTGGTCTCTGGCCCAGTACTCTTCACTATCTTCACAAATGATTTAGATCAGGGGTGTCAAACTTGATTTCATTAAGGGGCGCATCAGGGTTGTGTTCGACCTCAGATAGCCAGAGTAGGCGTGGCCAGGATGGGCGTGGCCAGTTCGACGTCACTCGTATCGGGGGCACCTGCGGTGGCCAAATGCTAAGGCAGGACTTCCCAGAGACCCTCCCTCATTCTCATTATAACCTTTCTTCCTTCATTCGCTTCTTTTTCCTTCCCTCTTCCTTCTCCTTCCTTCTTCCTTCTCCTCTTTCCTTATTTTTCCTTCCTTGCTCTTCCCATCTCTCCTTCTTTTACTTTGTCATTCCTCTTTCCCTTTCCTTTTTTTTTGTCCCTTCTTGCATGCTCAAATGCAAAAGGGGAAATATTTTTTAGTTTGTTTTGTTTTTATTTTGTTTGTAAAACAAACAAATGGCTGCATATGGTCCCACCAGGCCATTTTTTGGGGGGCTGGGATAGCCTCCTGCAGCCCTCTGCCAGTGAAAATGGAAATTGGGGAGGGGGGGAAGCGTGACCCTCCAGTGCTCCATTTTTGCTGGCAGAAACACTACAGGCTGGTCCTTTGCTGTTTCCAGGGCAGCCCCGTAGACCAGATCTAAGCACTCCATGGACTTTGGCCCATGGGCCTTGAGGGGAATTCATCAGATTTGCAGATGTCATCAAATTAGGGGATAGTTAACAATCTGAATATGTGAATAGTTAACACTTTAGAATATAGACTCCAGATTCAGAAATACGTTGACACATTTGAACACTAGGTCCTATCCAATAAAATGGAATTCAGCGGTAAGCAAAGTTAAGGTCCTACAATTAGGCAAGAAAAAACAAATTCAGTAGGTACCTGGCTCAACAGTAACAACTGTGTGAAATATCTAGGTGTCCTGGTATACCACCCCTTAAATATGAGGCAGTAGTGCGCTGCAACTGCCAAACCAATGCAATCCTACATTTTTATCATCAGAGGAACAGTTTCAAGTGATTGTGAAGTGATTGTACCACTTTATACTGCACTGCTGAGACCACACTTGCAATATTGCATCCAATTCTGGCCATCAAGATGCAAAAAGGATGTTGAGAGCTTAGAAAGAGTAAAGAGAAGAGCAACAAAGATGATAAGAGGTCTGGAGGCTAAAACATATGAAGAACAGTTGCAGGAATTGGGTATGTCTAATCTAAGAAGGACTACAGGTAATATGATAACAGTCTTCCAGTACTTGAGAGGTTGTCACAGAGAAGAGGTGTTGATCTATTCTCCAAAATCACCCAAGAACAGGACAAGAAGTAACAGATGGCAATTTACCAAGGAGAGATCCAATCTAGAATTAAAGAGAACTTTCTTGACAGTGAGAACAATTAATCAATGGAATAGCTTGTCTCCGGAAACTGGATGCTCCATCACTGAAGGTTTTCAGGAAGAGACTGGACAGCATTTGTCTGAAATGGTATAGGATTTTCTATTGGTGGGTTGGACTAGAAGAGCTCCAAGGTCCCTTCCAACCATATTATTCTAAGTTCTATATTTTATCTTGTTAGACCAAGGAAACATAACTTCCCCACTGTCTAGAAGAATACCCTCTAGCCTTAAGGAAGAAAGGAAGTGTCCACTCTCCTGGGGTTCTGGAAGGCCTTTAAGACCTGGCTTTGTTCCCAGGCCTGGGAATAATGCCTCTGAGGAGAAACAGTTCTGCTTTTTACAAATGTGATTGTCATCTTGTCTGGACTCTTAGGTTTTGTTATGTTTTTTATCTTTTTAATTGTATATTTGTCAGACATCAAATAAATAGCTCTACGTTTATAATATGGACTGCCATGTGGAAATTTATAGTTTAGTAAGTCAGTTGGTCACCCATAAAAAGTACATAGCCCTCTTTGTCTTCTTACATCATTTGATCCTAGGCACAATCTCATTACTATTGATAAACATCTATAGTTCCAAACCTGGCTGCAGGATAGGCAGACAATGTGCAAACCTGTTCTGCTCTCAGTGTGTTAATGCTTGTGTGGTCCATGTCACTGCTGGAATGGCCTTAGGGGAAGACTTGATGGTCTCCCAAGCCATCAGCGTCTTTCTTGCTCTTCCCTGCTTCCCCTTTCCTTCCCCAGCTCACTGCTCTTATTAAAGCTATTAATTCAGAAAGCTAAATTAGTGTGTTTCATCTTCAAATTGCTAGGGAACACTTACAAAGAAAGCCAAGCCTAATAGAACAATCCTAATTCAATCACTATTTTTTTCTTCTTCTTCCCTTTCCCTCTGATGTATCTCATCAACTATGAATTAATTTAACTTATGGTAAAACAGCTTCATAAACCATGGCCTACAAATAGCTTGTTTCCACTGATTCAGATTAAGATAAATCCCAATTTTTCAGGATCCAGACAACATTATTTGATGGGAAATTTGGCCACAAGAACAGAGAAATTTGTGAATTATGAAGATAAAAGAGATATAAATTC